ATATTGTACTAGAATTTGTAAAAACAGAAAATCAACTAACCGATATATTTACAAAACCTCTAGCTTTAAGGTACCCCCCTCCACCATTTTTTTTTTTTTTGATTTTCTATCTCATTTCTCACTCTCTTCTCTTCATCTTTCTCTCCCTCTTCATAGATCTACCATCAGTCTTCAAGATCTACTCAATATCTCAAAAACCCATCACTTATTCTTCTCCAAAACTTCAAATTCTCCATTTTTCTCTCACTAAAATTTGAATTTCTCTCACTTTTCTTATTTCTCATCTCCTTCTAAAAATTCTCCACTCTCCATCATGCCAAGAGTAAAGATTCCAAACAAGAAACCAAGGAGGACGAGGATACCAACTTCTTCTTCATCGAAAGACGAGATTGAAGCACCAAAACGTCATTTTAACAATTCTCCTACTCTTATAGGTAAAAATGTTGATTTTAGTGTTCTTTCTCTTCGCGCACCCGAATTTCATATTGAAGAATATTTCTTAGGCATGGGTTGGATCTCTATTGCTTCTATGAATGAGCATGCTTATCCTAATCTTATGAAGGAATTTTACAAAAACATGATTTTTGCTCCTCGTACGGGTAACATTTCTTGTCTTTTGAAAGGGAAATGTATTACCGTTACAAAATCAATTATCCGTACTATTTTTAAGTTAGAAGAATGTCCCAATCAAATTTTTTTGTCATGTGTCTCATCTACATTGTACCGATTATAATCCTCTTATGGCTTGTCATAGAGTTATCGGTAAGAACTTTGAACATCCAATTAAACATAGCTTTAACCAATTAACTCTACCTTGTAAAGTCTTGCATATCATTATTGATCATATCATTCTACCTTGCAAAGGTCATTTTGATGAGGTCACCCAGTTCGACCTCTTCCTTTTCGACTCCTTCTTAGTTGGACAAAATTGGATTTTCCAACGGTCGTTCTAAGTCATATGCAACTTGTCCTCTCCGCCACTCGCACCAATGCTTTACCTTACGACATGCTCCTCACCAAAATTTTTAATTTTTTTGAAATTCCTCTAAACGGTGAGGTGCATGAGTCACTCCATCCCACCGACACCATCAGCATTCACACTCTTAAGAGGATGAAAATTGTTAAAGAATGTGGGCAATGGGTGGTCAATACTAAAGGTTTTGATCCAGACTCCGGACCTTCCACTTTACCTCTCGAAGAAGCCGGGGACGACCATGACGACGACATTCCACAAGTTCCTAGTCCCCCTCAAGACATTCCAGGGTCGAGTGCACCACATCCTACCGGCGGCTTTACTTTTACCGAGGACCATTATAATCTTCTCAATGGTCGCATCAACTTCCTCACATCCTCCATTGACGGGTTTGGAGAACGGCTGCACCATTTGCAAATGCAACAAGATAATATACAAACTCAACGAGAGGCATTCTATGCTAGGTTTGATGCTCAACAAGAGGCGATGCAAACTCAACAAGCTGCCATACAAGCTCAACAAGCGGCTATACAAGTTCAACAAGACGCCTTCTGCATCTATCACTTCGCTCAACAGGAGGCGATATTAGCTTAGCAAAATGCCTTTTATGCTCATTTTGACGCACTTTTTCTACCTCCGCCTCCTCCGGGCTTTTAGCTATATTCTATGCATATGTTCTTTATCATTCATGTTGGTTTATTTTTAGTGTTATCGTTGATCTATGCTCTAAGACATTGTGTGTCGTTTCTTGTATTGTGCTCTAATGCATATGTTCTTTATCGTTGGTTTATTCTTCTTTTTGCTTATGACAAAGGGGAAAAATTATAGAAGATAATATGATCGATGAGATATGCTTGATAATAATATGATATATGCTTGATAATGATATTTGCCCTTATAAACATATGTTTTAAAATTATTTGAGTATCGGTTTGTAAAAGATAGGAGGAATTTATGGATCTCATGCATAGTTGAGTACTTATATTTCCTATCACTTGTTCATTATTATCTCACAAATCATCTTGTTTGTCATAATAAAAAAAGGAAAAATTGTTGACCTATGATTTT